AGGCGCGGGTTTCACCGCAGCCTGCGTCGAGCTTGCCGTCTGTGTCGACGAGCTCCTCGTTGTAACTGCCCTGCGTCTTCTGCAGAGCCCGGCAAACACCTTTGCCGACTGAACTAGCCCAATCAAGGCTAGGAGATGCACAAAGACCATGTACATCCAGAAGCTAGCAGCATCAAAGCCGCCTTCCACTTCTTGAGGCTGTGCCGCAGCCGTCTTCACACAAGCTGCCAAGATCGCTGCCACGAAGCCCCTTCGGAGAGGCAGCATCTTGGTCAGCTCTTGGATCCTCGGCCCGTTTAGGGCCTTCGTCCCCAAGTCTGCAACGTTCGTGGCAGTTGGCTCCTTTCGGATCTGGACCTTCCCGTCCTGCACGTAGCTTTGCAGCCAAAGCTCTCTTAGCTCCAGGTGTTTCAGTTTTCCGACACCCTTCCTTTGGGCTATGCCCTTTCCTGCTGTGCTATCTGTCTTGGCTATAAGCGGGAGCTCATAGCCAACGATCTGCCAAATCTGTTGCGACATTCGGCCTGCCGCAACACCACGCGTCAAAGCGTAGTATTCGGCTTCACCACTAGACAGGGCCACCGTGGCCTGTCTCGCACAGCTTGTCTCGATCATGTGGTGACCGAACATCTCCACATACCCGCTCATACTCTTGCGTGTCCTTGGGTCCTGCGCCCAATCCGAGTCAGTATAAAGTACTAACTCCCTTGGGGCCTCTTGGTACTTGTAGACCCAAACTTCTGAAGGAAACTTGAGCAGGTAGCGACCTAGGCGCTTGAGCCGGTGCATATGGATGCGCCTCGGCTTCGCCATTCCAGCAGTGATGTCACTCACTGCAAACTGTATCGTGGGCCGATCAAGGCTCAGATACAACGCTGTGCCCGCAAGCCTGCGGAACTCGCTGGCCTCTTCTGGTGGCAGCTCCTCCTCCGCAAACCTGTCGTTTTTCCCTGTCTCTTTCGAGGCAGGTGTGTCTACACCCTTGCCTCCTTCCAAGTGGAGCTCCTTTGTGAGGAGCCTCGCGTACTTTCCATCTGCTTCCCACGTGTAGCCGTCCCTGTTCCAGTTAAGCTTGCGGTGCAGACGTGTGCCCTCAGCACACTCCCCGCCATGCTCTGGCGGACCAAGCTTGGGAAGGATCTTCACCTCATACTCTTCAAGCATAAGGCGGTCCAGAAACTCCAAAGAGGGCTTCTCGCCCGAAGCCAAAAAGTCATCTCCGTGACAGCACACTAGGAGATCGTGGGTTGGATGATAGAAAAGCCCTGGCACAGACTCTATCTCCAAGAACCCCCACTTCTTCTTGTTTTGAAGGATCTTGGCCGCCCACTGTTTGGACGCTTCCCTCGTCCCATTCATCGCCTTGTTGAGGAACCACAGAAAACTCTGGTCTAGGTCCTTTGGTGGAACCACGGCGATCTTCCCAGTAGCGTCCGCGTGGAAGAATGCTACCGATACGTCGTATCTGGCAACAAGCTTCTTGTTCTCACGCGCTCCTGGGGCTTTCGTAGCCGCGTGAGAGATAACCATCCGATGTGCCTTCAGCGGTGGCGTTCCGGA